GAACCGCTACCAGCAGTACGACCCCCAGTGACCCTGACACTGCAGAAACGCCTCCCACCGGCACCCAGAAGGACAGCGTCAATGTCTGCCTCCACCTGGAGAGACGGTCATTTTCCCTCCAACATCGTTTAAACATCTGCATTAAAGCCAATTAGTGCCACCACAGCTGGACACGTCACCTTATCTAACAGGGCCAGAACTGCCTTCCATCACATTTGTTCGACTTGCAGCTGTGAGTACAGGCTTTTAAAAAACTACAAGTACTTCACACAAGTGAAGGGGAACTTCTGTGAATGGAAAACCTCACTTTTTGTTTTTTTTTTTAAATAAAAACAAAGGACCTGCTATAAAAAGTAAATGGTACAATGTTACAGAAAGGATTTACAAAGTTAAAAAAGAATTGATAATTAAACTCAGACTGAATGTAGAATGGTCAACAAGGATGTCAGTTCTTTTGACAGAGTTTAATCTTTTTTTTTTTTTTTTTTTTTTGTTGTTCTGCTTCCTGCCAGTAGATAATATATAAAAGAAAAAGTGTGCTTTATCAGTGGTAAAGAGAGGTAAGTGCATGATAGACAGTTAAATTCTCCATCTCCATAGGCACCTTTTTGTATCAGAGTTTTGCTTTAGTTATCTCTCAGCAGCAAAAACATAATATGCTTTTACATATTTGCACAAATTCCTTTCTCTTAAATCACTGCTGATGTTTACCAGTTCTGATGGTAAGACTTTGACATGTCAGTGATAGCAGAAGTAAACATGTTATAGGTGCATCTGGCATGTAAATTTTTAAAGGCTTGTTTTTGAACATTTTCCCTTGAATGAGCTTAATTTTTACATGTTGAGGTGATTTTTTTTTTCTTTTGTAGTTTCAGTCTCATGCTGATATGAGATTAAAAAGTTGAGGAGTTAAGAATTGTACAGCAGCGTGAACCATTTTATTCCATATGATTTTTGAAATACATAGATAATTTCTGCTCAAGTTTCCTTGAAAGTACTGTCACATTATAATCCTTAGGATTTCAGCCCTGATTGATTTGGTGGCACCTGTTGTTTTCATGGTAACAGCAAGTGCAGTTTAATGCTAGAACAACCAGCTACTTTATCTGAAATACAGCAGAAGAGCAACTGGCCTGTCGGTTAACAGTGCAGCCAAATGAACTCCCAAACTCACATTTAAAAAGTCATTATGCTACAGAGCGAGCAGCTGTGCTAAGTTTTCCACAGCATAGTGAAGAGGAGTTAGCTTTGCTGTAGAGGTGGAGGCGTGCAGTCAGTTGCCAACATCTCACCTACGTTTTTTCACTACTCCTCCGACTCCTAAAATGACTGTTGTCTCATTCTATATGTGCATGTGTAACATGGCTTCATGCTAGAAGCCACCCTGTGTTTCCCCCAGTTCAATGCTGTGCAGCTGCAGCAGTAGGAGATGTGGGAGACTGCTGATGCTGGCATCTGAGACATCAAATTACAAACAGTAATGCTGGATTACCTGCTGCGTTATTTCCTGTGAACCCCTTGTGCATAGGTAGAGTCTGAGTCCAGGGCTGGAATGACACAAACTGCCCCAAACAGTGGAAACAACCTCATAGAGAGAGAATTGCAGGATATAAATACATTAAAAGACTATTGCTGCAAAAGAAAAAACAAACAAGTATAAATTCAGTTTGAATTCATTACAACTTTAACTCTTGATATGTTCATATGTTCTCTTCCTTGCTTGCCGCCTGCTATGTTATGTATGCAGAGAATTGGAATGAATTGACTGGAAATGCATCAGTTGGCCATTAATCAGTATCTTCAGGTCTTTCTAGGAAACTGTCTTCACCCCGGGAAAGGAATTCTGCAGCTTCAGTTCCGTACTGTAGGATTTGTGATTTGTCTTTGTCTTCCTCTTATAAAACTGGCAGAACATCACTTGTTTTCAATAATATCAGTTTATACATAGCAAACTGATGCTAAATCCACAGGAAGTGTTTGGCCACTGCAAAATGGGATACAGTTCTTGTACAGTGTCTACAGATGTGTTTGAGTTCTCCAGAGACCTGAAGTATAAAGTTAGTGGTACTTGAATCATTAAATAAGCTTTTGTATATGCTGTTCTTTTGTATTCTTTAGTAGTTTTAGCTCATTTTATATTGTCTGTATACTAAAATACATGTGCTGTATATTCCACCTGTAATATGTAAGGACTTCAATACATATGGACTGAGGATTCATCTCTGAATGCTGATTCTTTCTTGGTTTGTTTTGTCTGGAGCTTTAGTTTCAGCCAGTTTGCCTTAGAAGACCCTGCGTTAAATTAACACAAATTGCTACTATGCTGTGAGTCTGCAAAAATATCACCTCCTCCTCCAAAGAAGACTGACCCATCCAGTCCAACCGAGCTCAAGCCTCCACCTGCTCTAAAAGAAGCCCAGGACGTTCCCAAGACTGGACCACCACAGCTCAGCAGACCCCCGACCACTAAACCCAAAGGTTCAGTCACCTGCAAACAAAGAGAAAGAATAGTCCAGAGTTAGTAAACCCCTCCATTCCTCCCAAGCCCCAGTTAAAGCATGAGAATATGTAAAAATGTGAGTCTGCTCTTCAAACCATCACTTTAGGATTAAATAGATAAAGGACAAAGGATTTAAATGAACAAATTATCACTACTTTGTAGCTAATTAGCTTTTTAAATTTGTAGGTGTGTTATCTTTAAATTTACACATAGTTACATTTTTTTAAGGATATTTAAAACTGAACCAGCAATAACACATGACCTTATGGGTCTTGTAATGTTTACTTGTTTTTACCTAAATATTACACAAAATATTAGGTAAAGTTACGTGTTTTTGTTGCCATATGGTCGTTGTAGCCTGTGCCAGTCTTACCATCACAATAGGCTAGACGCTTCAGCAATAGCTGAATCTACACTCATGCCTTGTATGATACGGTGCCTCAGTAGTATATGCAAAGTGCATCAGTGCTTAATAAACTCTATGCAACTGTAAATGTAGTAGAATCAAAGTAGAATAAACTGTTCAAATCTAGCCAGTCATTCCTGAACAGTAGACAAAAAAAAAAGTTCAGTGACTACATCTGGGTTTTCTAAGTTCTATTAGCAATTACTAAAAGATGTCTGCCAAGTAGAAATTCTGTTTTATACTTAAGGTATGCAAGCTTTTGTGTTACTGTAATGTTTCCCTTTTTGACTGCATAATTCACACTACCATAACTTGTAACAGATGTGCACTTTTGCCAAGTCATTTTGGATGAAGTAAGTTTAAGGTTTACACACGGTGAAGGAAGTACGTCACCGTGCATTTCATTTCTTAGTTTTACTTGTCATTGGCCAAAGACTGAGTTATGCTTCTTTCTTTAAAGCATAGCACTCAGAATATACTGCAACCCCCCTAGGGACTACAGTATATCCAGAGATAGAGCTGGCAGAGAGACAGGTTCACTGACTGTACTGCTCTCCAAATAGACTGGAGAATAATGAAAGCGAACTCACATTGATCCAAAGTTAGACACACTGTCTGACTGCTGGAGAAAGACTTTATACTGTGAAAATGTTCAGTGGTACATTTGCTGTTTGCTGAAAGGAAAACTACTGTAGCTGCTTACTTATAGCCAATATGGGTAGCTCATAGCGAAGGTTTGTATCAATATGGAAGTACCTAAACACTTGATGCTGGTTTACAGAGAGAACAGTTCAGATTTAAAGCCTTTTATGGAAATCCAGAGTGTTCAATAATAAACAAAAACAACATTGAAATTAATAATCATATGAATAAATTGTGTAAAATACTGTATATACAGTACTTGCACAGGCAATTTGTGAAATTCAAGAACTATTAAAACTTGTCATTATTTTGAAATATCTCATCATTCTTACTTAATAGAGTTGTTAGGGGTTATTTTTTATTGTGATTGTGGACATTATTATTTCAAAGTGTTATTTTTAAAAAGTCTATTTTTATTTCATAATATCTTTTTATGTCCCTTTACTACTGTAGCCTAGATGGTGGGACATTATGTCCATGCTGCTGTCTGTGACTCTGCAATAGATGTGCTATTGAACACAGAAAGTCTAGAACAATTCAAAGCAGAAACTCTTTACTTATACATTAGATGGTCTGATAGGAATTTGCATAAATGTGCATTTTAATGAGGACCAATTTCACAAAAACTGCAGGTTAACCTAACACATTCAAATTATTACCAGATAGATACCATTATGCAGAAAGTATGTATGTTGGTAGGAAAATAATACAGATAGAATGCAGCAAACTGCAGTACAACTCATGTTAGCATCAGACCTAACATTATGACCACTGACAGGTGAAGTGAAGAACACTGATGAGCTCGTTACAGCCACCTGTCAGTGGATGGGGTTTATAAGGCAGCAAGACAACAGTGTCTAAGGAAGGACAGATGGTGAAGTGGTGACAAAGGCACAGACGTCCACAGCTCACTGACGATGAGGTTGACCTACTGTAGATCCTTTGAATTTAAAGTTTAATGTGCAGCGTGTTTAGCTTGTGTGACAATCATATAGAAATAACATGAAAAGATGAGAAACAAAGGAGTTAAGAAACAGATAAGTGGAGAGGAGATGAGTTGGGTCCATAATGACATCTTAACATCTCGAACAGGTAAGTATAATTTTGTTTGCTTTAATTACATTTTATATACTAGTCATAAACCAATCATCTGTGCCTTTGTTTTTAAAAACTGAGTTACAGGTCCTCTGGTCTTCTATTTATCTTTCAGAGTGAGGAGAGAGGAAGAGATGGAGGGCAGGATGAAGTGTAAGACCTTTCATGTGCATGGTAAATATCAGTTTATCTAATGGTCTTAACGATTTTATGTAGTCATCGGCTCTGTTTTCATCTGAATTTCTAAATATTCCATTTTGTCTTATATTTGTTTCTTTTCAGGAGTATGGAGGAGAGGAGAAACCAATAAGAGATATGAATAGAGGAGAAAACCGAACGGAAATAAGGACATGGCAGAGAAGAGGAGATCGGGGGACGTAATGACATATGAATATTTGGAAAAGGTCAGTATAATTTTATTTGCTTTAATTACATTTTATATAGTAGCAGGCCAGTCCGTGAGGCCCATTGCACCAGTCAGGACCCGCCAGCTGTGGCAAGGTGCCTCACAGCTCCACACCGATGGGTCCTGACCGGGGCCCATGACCCTCACACCAGGGTGGCCATGAAGTCCACAATCACCCCGGTCAGGACCTGTCGGGGCGAGGCTGTGAGGGCAAGGTGCCTTACAGCCACCCAGGCGTGTGGGTGTGTGGACCCTGGTCAGGACCCGTCGGGGCGGGGCTGTGGGGGCAAGGCACCTCATGGACACCCCGGAGTTTGGGCGTGTGGACCCCGGTCAAGACCCGTTGGAGAGGGGCTGTGAGGGCAAGGCGTCTCATGACCACCCGGAGTTTGGCCGTGTGTACCCCAGTCAGGACCCATTGGGGCGGGGCTGTAAGGGCAAGGTGCCTCACGGGCACCCCGGCGTGTGGTCCATGGGCCCCGGTCAGGACCCGTCGGGGCGGGGCTGTGAGGGCAAGGTGCCTCATGGCCACCCTGGCGTGTGGGCCATGGGTGTGTGGACCCCGGTCTGGACCTGTCAGGGCGGGGCTGTGAGGGCAAGGCGCTTCACGGCAACCCCGGCATGTGAGCCATGGGCCCCGGTCAGGACCCGTCGGGGCAGGGCTGTGAGGGCAAGGGACCCGCTTGCCAACCCCGTGGGCCCCGGTCAGGACCCGTCGGGCGGGGCTGTGAGGGCAAGGTGCCTCATGGCCACCCCGGCGTCTGGGCCATGGGCCTCGGTCAGGACCCGTTAGGGGGGCTGTGAGGGCAAGGCGCCTCACGGCCACCCCGGCATGTGAGCCATGGGCCCCGGTCAGGACCCGTCGGAGCAGGGCTGTGAGGGCAAGGCACCTGATTGCCATCCCTGTGTGTAGGCCATGGGTGTGTGGGCCCCGGTCAGGACCCGTCGGGCGGGGCTGTGAGGGCAAGGTGCCTCATGGCCACCCCGGCGTCTGGGCCATGGGCCTCGGTCAGGACCCGTTAGGGGGGCTGTGAGGGCAAGGCGCCTCACGGCCACCCCGGCATGTGAGCCATGGGCCCCGGTCAGGACCCGTCGGAGCAGGGCTGTGAGGGCAAGGCACCTGATTGCCATCCCTGTGTGTAGGCCATGGGTGTGTGGGCCCCGGTCAGGACCCGTCGGGCGGGGCTGTGAGGGCAAGGTGCCTCATGGCCACCCCGGCGTCTGGGCCATGGGCCTCGGTCAGGACCCGTTAGGGGGGCTGTGAGGGCAAGGCGCCTCACGGCCACCCCGGCATGTGAGCCATGGGCCCCGGTCAGGACCCGTCGGAGCAGGGCTGTGAGGGCAAGGCACCTGATTGCCATCCCTGTGTGTAGGCCATGGGTGTGTGGGCCCCGGTCAGGACCCGTCGGGCGGGGCTGTGAGGGCAAGGTGCCTCATGGCCACCCCGGCGTCTGGGCCATGGGCCTCGGTCAGGACCCGTTAGGGGGGCTGTGAGGGCAAGGCGCCTCACGGCCACCCCGGCATGTGAGCCATGGGCCCCGGTCAGGACCCGTCGGAGCAGGGCTGTGAGGGCAAGGCACCTGATTGCCATCCCTGTGTGTAGGCCATGGGTGTGTGGGCCCCGGTCAGGACCCGTCGGGCGGGGCTGTGAGGGCAAGGTGCCTCATGGCCACCCCGGCGTCTGGGCCATGGGCCTCGGTCAGGACCCGTTAGGGGGGCTGTGAGGGCAAGGCGCCTCACGGCCACCCCGGCATGTGAGCCATGGGCCCCGGTCAGGACCCGTCGGAGCAGGGCTGTGAGGGCAAGGCACCTGATTGCCATCCCTGTGTGTAGGCCATGGGTGTGTGGGCCCCGGTCAGGACCCGTCGGGCGGGGCTGTGAGGGCAAGGTGCCTCATGGCCACCCCGGCGTCTGGGCCATGGGCCTCGGTCAGGACCCGTTAGGGGGGCTGTGAGGGCAAGGCGCCTCACGGCCACCCCGGCATGTGAGCCATGGGCCCCGGTCAGGACCCGTCGGAGCAGGGCTGTGAGGGCAAGGCACCTGATTGCCATCCCTGTGTGTAGGCCATGGGTGTGTGGGCCCCGGTCAGGACCCGTCGGGCGGGGCTGTGAGGGCAAGGTGCCTCATGGCCACCCCGGCGTCTGGGCCATGGGCCTCGGTCAGGACCCGTTAGGGGGGCTGTGAGGGCAAGGCGCCTCACGGCCACCCCGGCATGTGAGCCATGGGCCCCGGTCAGGACCCGTCGGAGCAGGGCTGTGAGGGCAAGGCACCTGATTGCCATCCCTGTGTGTAGGCCATGGGTGTGTGGGCCCCGGTCAGGACGCGTCGGGCGGGGCTGTGAGGGCAAGGTGCCTCATGGCCACCCCGGCGTCTGGGCCATGGGCCTCGGTCAGGACCCGTTAGGGGGGCTGTGAGGGCAAGGCGCCTCACGGCCACCCTGGCGTGTGGGCCATGGGCCTTGGTCAGGACCCGTTGTGAGGGCAAGGTGCCTCACGGGCACCCAGGCATGTGGGTGTGTGGACCCCGGTCAGGACCCGTCGGGGCGGGGCTGTGAGGGCAAGGTGCCTCACGGCCACCCAGGTGTGTGGGTGTGTGGACTTCGGTCAGGACCCATCGGGGCGGGGCTGTGAGGGCAAGGCGCCTCATTGCCACCGAGGCGTGTGGGTGTGTGGACCCCACTCAGGACCCGTCGGGGCGGGGCTGTGAGGGCGAGGCGCCTAAGATCATACTCAAAATATCAGCAGGTTTTATTGACAGTGGAAGCAATGCCCAGATTTAATGAGATCAAAAGCTATCAGGAAGTAACTTCACGTAAAAGAATGGTGTCCTGTTAACAATGGACAGAATTTCATGTCTAAACCTGTTTTACTAAAGGTCTTTGAGTATCCAGAATTGAAGACCAGCTGGAGGATGACTTGTATAAAGCTGGAAGTAATGGAGTCTTGTAGGGTTTTTTTTTTTTAGGTTAACCAAGGGAGACCACACC